CATTCCCCCCTCTCATGTGCTCTCTCTCATTCTCGCTCTCTCAAATAAATAAATAAATCTTAAAAAAAAAAAAAAAAAAGAAGTAGGTACTGTTGTTGTGTGGGCCAGATGAAGAAACTAAGTAATTTGCCCGAGGACCCATGATTGATAAGTATGGGATCTGAGATGCAACCCCAGCTCCAGAGCCCAAGCTCCTGAGCCACCACTCCTGAGTGGTGAGCAAGGCCGAGGAACCCCCTGGGACATGGGAGCAGTTTATTATTGCTGTGGTTATCATTGTCACAGCCAACCCCAGAGCTTCCATCCTGTACGCTGCCTGCCTGGGCCCCAGCGTCAGCGGGGCTGGGAGGCCGCAATGGGGTGCTGTTGCCAGAGGCAGGGACCAGCTTCAGGGGCCAAGGGCTGTGTCCCAGGAGTCAGAACAGGAGGCTGTGGTGTGGGAGGCCGCTGTCCTTGGTCAAGGGGACAGCAGGTGTCTTCCAGGTGGACAGCCCTGTGCTCACACTGGGGAGCAGCAGAGCCAGGATTGGAGCTTCCGGGGCGAGGCTCTTTCCAGTATCACGTGCTGCCTGCTCGCAAACTTCTGTGATTCCTGAGTCGCTAACATGTTTCTTGGGCATCTGCTATCCCAGCGATACTGAGAGATCTGAGAGCGAGGGAAGGACGGGAGAGGATTTGGCAAGGGGCTGATGGTGGTGCAGCTGCATGTGCAGAGCAGATTTCTACCAAGAAGACGTGCAGACGGCCGAGCCCAGGGTACTGACTAACCGTGTCCCTCTCTGCTCCACCGCGCTCCTCACTTCAGATCATCGACAGTGAGAATGAGGCCCTCCTGGCAGCGCTCACCAAGACCCTGGACGACATCCCTGAAGACGACGTGGGTCTGGCTGCCTTCCCGGCCCTGGACGGTGGAGACGCACCATCCTGCACTTCGGCTTCACCTGCCACCTCATCTGCACCCCCCAGCCCCAGCCCCTCGCTGGAAAGGCCCCAGGCCCCGACGCCTGAGGTGGACGAACTCTCCCTGGTGAGAACCTAGTTCCAGCTGACGTGATGGTGGTGGGCTGGGCTGTGCTGTCTGGGTGTAGGCTTGTGGGTGCAGGGGAAGCTGCACCAGCCGCTGCAGGGCTCTCTGTGCACCACTGAGCAGCCTGGAAGGGCAGCCTGGAAGGCCTCCGGGCCTCACCGTTCCTGCCTGTACAGCTGGACTAACCCCGCAGGCTCCACCTGCACTCTGTAGGTCCTTTGGGATTTCACCGGTTGACCTTCCTTGTGTGGTAAACCCTCGAAATCACATGTAAACCTTTCCCTGAAGGTTATGCATGCACACGCAGTCAAAATTCAAGCAGGAAATGTGGATAGTTAAAAGCAAAACCTCCTTATCCATCCCACAGTTGTGTTCTCCTTGCCTGGAGGTAACCATGGTTACCGATCTGTTTTGTGACTTTCCTCTTCCACCTTTTTTTTTTTTTAAACTACAAAAGCGAGTCCACATTATACACCGCTCTGCACCTTTTCTCAGTGAACTGTCTTGAAAACTCAGATGAGCACAGGTCACTCTGCTCTATCCTTTTTGTCAGCTGCGTAGTGTTCTTTTGTAAGGATATACCGTAACTTGTTTGACTCGTCTCCTGGTTGGTGGAGATTTATGTTGTTCCAACTCTGATTGCTACACTGTGGGGGTCAGTGTCCCGGCACAGGCCTTTGCCTCATCTAAGTGGGTGAGTTTCTAGCAGTGGAATTCTTGGGCCTACAGATACCCGATGTTTCAGTTTAGACAGCTGGTTCCAGATTGCCCTCCACAGGGTTTGGGCTGGTTGATGCTCCCACCAGCAGAAGCTCAATGCTGTCTGTGAGTATATGTGGAATGGGGGAATGAGCAGTTTTCTGCACAGTTTTGCAGTCTTCTGGGGAGAAGCCTTCAGCTTTTATCAGGTTCTCAAAGGAGTCCAGACCTCAAAAGTTACTGAAAGCAGTTGCCCCTAATTCAGGCTGAGGGTGTTGGAAGCTGGGAGCTGAGATGTCATGGAGCGTGTGAAGTCCAGCTTCGCTCACCTATCTTGGGGTCCCCGCCTTGGCGCTGCAGCTCCTGGGGGCTGACAAGACCCAGCTGGAAAATCGGAGCCTATTGAGCTGGGAAGGGTCTTAGGTCAGGGAAAGTTCTGAGCGGAAAGGCCCTTGGTGACTATCAAGTGCAGCTCTAGGAAAACTGAGGCCCAGAGCAGGGAGGGATTCTCCTGTGGTCACAGAGCAAGTCAGTATTCTGACTTCTGGTCCAGGAGGCTTTTCCTTCTTTCCCACTGCCTGCAAGTTCCCCAGAGCGGCATGAAACATTTAGTAAGCACCTACTGTGTGCTGGGCACGAGAATGTGTTCAGTCCCACATTGTGGCTTCTGCTGACAGGAATCCGACTGGGTTTGAATCCCAGCCCCAGCAGTTAGTGCTTGTGGGTCCTTTAGATCCCTAATATCTCTGATTCAGCTTCCTGGTCCATAAGGTGAAGCTGATAATAGCGGTTATCTCAAAGGCTGTTAAGAGGAGTCCAGCAGATAATGCATGGAGAGCACTTAGAACGGTGCCTGGCACAGCAGTTGCTCAATAAATACTATCTAAGTAATAGTCCTGGCGGTAGTACTACCAAGAGGAATTCTCAGTGTGGGGACTGTGGAGAGCGATCAAACCCCAGAGAGGCAGAGAGCGACCCCTGCTGGCCACAGGGTGTTTCTCTCCTGTGCCTCAGACTGCCTTTCCTCCTCCGTCTGTTGAGCACTTCTGGCACTGTGCTAGGTGCACGGGAAACAGACTCACCCTCTAGACTCCCAGCATACACACAGAGTTCAGAAAGGCCCTGAGAAGTGATCCAGATGCCCAGTTTTCATGGGTCCCAGGGAGTCCACCGGTGGACTGACCAGGACCCATGGACCTCTGTATATCCGTGCGTCTCTCTGAGGTCAGCAGCTTCTGTCTTATCCCTTGAGAAACTCCTGAGTCCAAAAAGGTTCATAACTAGTCCTTTAGTGTTCTTGCTGCCATTATGCCAATGGAGAAACCAAGGCCTGGAGAGGGAAAGGACTCGCTCAAGGTCTCATAGTGAGTGGGGCTGAGCTGGGCCAGAACCAGGTCCCTCCCACCGGCTCAAGGATCTTTTGCTGTCCATGTCAGAGAATCACAGAGCTGCGTGTGTTGGTCTGGGATCTAGGTGGGGTGGTGGGAATCCTCAGCTTCTAAGGGAGTGAGGAGTGGCCTTTTCTCTGGTGCCTGAGCCTTTGGCACTCCTTGCTGGGGTGACCTGGGGGGCATATCCCTTGAGGGAAGATTGGTGCTATAGCAAAAACCCATCATGCTTCCTGACTTGTTCTCAGTCTTGCTGGGACAGGATCCCTGGTGGAATTTCCAGGGATGCTCGGCTCCCAGCTCTCTTGCTGGGATGCACCATGCACCTACCCTCTGGGTGCAGAAGTGTAACAGCGTCTCAGCAATTTTTATAGAAGACTTAGAAAAGCTAGACAAACTTTGGTATTCTTCCACCTGTGTAAAAACAGTCAGGTGTGTTGGAGGTGGTACATACGTACATTCTTGTGTGATCGATCCGAAAACCTCAGGATTGGGTCACAAGAAGGTGGTTAATAGTCATTGCCTCTGGGAAGGAAGCAGGGGACACCTCAGGCAGGAGGGAGACTTGCTTCTCATTGTCCACCCCTTAGTATTTATGGTATATATTTTTACACCATTTACAAGTATTACTTTTTTAATTTAAGAAATTAACTTTTTTTTTTTTTAAAGATTTTATTTATTTATTTGAGAGAGAGAATGAGAGAGAGCACATGAGAGGGGGGAGGGTCAGAGGGAGAAGCTGACTCCCTGCCGAGCAGGGAGCCCGATGCGGGACTCGATCCCGGGACTCCAGGATCATGACCTGAGCCGAAGGCAGTCGCTTAACCAACTGAGCCACCCAGGCGCCCTAAGAAATTAACTTTTAACGGAACAGTATGAATAAGCAAAAAGAACAAAAGGGAAATCAGCTGGAATCCCATACCAAAGAATCATTGTGGTGCCCGACTTTCCAGATTGTGTGTGTGCACACGTGTGTACTATAAGTGTATGCAGAGTGTCCCAATAAACTGTTCATGTCATATCTTAACAGTAGAGTGGGAAGACATTCCCCAAGATCTGTGTGGATTTCTCAAAGGCACAGGGCATTAGTAACTCTGAAAACGATTTACATTTTATGGGGATGCTTAGATTGTTAGACAATCTGCTTTCTGTACTTAACGTAATGGGAACATATTCATGAAATGCCCTCCCTGTATTCTTACCATAGTCCTGTGATGACCCGGGGTCAGGGCGTGCGCCATCCCAAGAAGCTGCTAGCTCTGGGCTCAGACTTCTCCCCAAGCCACGTTTCTCCATGTCCCCCAGCAGAGCACAGCCCCAGCTCCTCTCCTCTCTGCTTCTCCCACAGCTGCAGAAACTCCTCCTCGCCACGTCCTACCCGACCTCAAGCTCCGATACCCAGAAGGAAGGGACCGCCTGGCGCCAGGCAGGCCTCAGGTCTAGGAATCAGCGGCCCTGTGTCAAGGTATTTGTGCACGTGTCCCCAAATCCACCCAGGCCCCCAGGTGGCCTCTGAGGGGTGCAACCTTCAGCTCTTATTAGGGGGTATTGAGTTCAGTCACCTTCCATTTACCTTCCTTGTGCCTCACATAGCCCTTGTAGCTGGTGCGCTGGGTACTTCTTGAGGCCCAGGCCAGTTTGGGGTTCTGGAAAGAGCATTGGACTTTCTCCTACATCTCAGTGTTTGAGGCACCATGTTAGACATTGGGTTAGAGCAGGAACAGGAAGATGTGGCCTGCTCTTAGCGAGCTTATTCTAATGGGTGACACACAGAAACCTCAGATCCTCGCTGGAGACCACAGTAAAGAGTTTGGATTTCTTCAGGGGGGAAGCCATGGGAGAGTCCCAGGCTCTGTTGTGAACACCAAGGAGCGAAGCAAATCCCTTTTCCTCCTTGGACTCCATCTTCCAAGATTTTCAAAGAGGTTTCACCGGTGATTCCTGGCATTCCCGTGACTCAAAGCCTGCACTCGGTCCTTCGCCTTGGGTCCCTGGACACTCCTGCAGGAGACTATTGCACACAATCCCATGCCCTCGGGGCAGAAACAGGGTTTTTTTTTTTAACAGTTTCATGGAGGTTTCACTTATATATCATAAAAGGCACTTATTTCGAAAGAACAATTCGATGATTTGTAGTAAAGGGACAGGGTTGTGCAGCCGTGACCACAATTTAGTTTTAGAACATTGCCGTCATCCCAGAAAGCTCCCCAGCACCCCCATGTACAGTTAATCCCTCTCCCCACACCCAGGCGACCACTAATATGCTTCCTGGTGCCATTACTGAAGGGTATAGTGCAGGGGAGCGGGGTGGTCACAGCAGGGCTGCGGCAGGGAACCGGGAAGGGGTGAAGTCCGTGGCTGGGAGGCCTGTTAGGAGGCTGGTCATTCCTTTGCTCCTCGTGACCTGAGCGCTGCTAGATGCCACGTGGGCCCCAGCCGGTGGCCACAGGCGTGGGGCAGAGTGGAGGGGGGCAGTGCAGGCCTCCCTCCTCACTCGGCCCTCTTTCTCTCTCTAGGTGGACGGCACCCAAGACAAGAAGGCCCCCACGATGCAGTCTCAGAGTCGGAGTTGTACAGAGCTGCATAAGCACCTCACTTCGGGGCCATCCTGCCCCCAGACTAAAGCCCGCTCCCCAGACAGGGGCTTGCAGCCACCACCCTCCCTGAGTCCCCAGCTCCCAGCCAAGGAGGAGGAGGAAGCTGGTGAGGACTGCCCGAGCCCCCAGCCGGCTCCAGCCTCGCCCCAGGACTCCCCAGCCCCGGGCAGGGCAGGCCCCGGCGCCCAGGGGTCCCGGGAGGACATGCAGGAGATAGTGAAGCTCATTCGCTACATGCACACCTACTGCCTTCCCCAGAGGAAGCTGCCCCCACAGGCCCCAGAGCCAGCCCCCCAGCCCTGTGGCAGCCCCTCCAAGCAGGTCAAACCCCGGCCCCGGTCCCAACACCCTTCCAAAGGCTCCTGGGCTGAGTTCTCCATCCTGAGGGAACTTCTGGCTCAAGATGTCCTCTGTGATGTCAGCAAACCTTACCGCCTGGCCACACCTGTCTACGCCTCCCTCACGCCCCGGCCCAGGCCCAGGCCCCCCAAAGACAGCCAGGCCTCCCCTGGCCACCCGTCCCCCGTGGAGGAGGTGAGGATCACAGCTTCGCCCAGGAGCACCGGGCCCAGACCCAGCCTGCGCCCACTGCGGCTTGAGGTGAAAGGACATGCCGGCCGGTCAGCCAGGCTGCAGCGGGAGGAGGAAGAGGAGGAGGAGGAAGAGGAAGAGGAGGAGGAAGAGGAGGAGGAGGAGGAGTGGGGCCGGAAAAGACCGGGCCGAGGCCTGCCGTGGACCAAGCTGGGGAGGAAGCTGGAGAACGCGGTGTGCCCCGTGCGGCGTTCCAGGAGACTGAACCCGGAGCTGGGTCCCTGGCTGGCATTATCCGATGAGTCTCTGGTCCCTGCGGAGCCCCAAGGAGCTCTGCCCTCGCTGCGCCTGGCTCCCGAGGCCTACGACATGGCGGGGGCACTGGGCAGCCCCACGGATGAGGACAGTGGCCAAGACCAGCAGCTCCCACGGGGACCCCAGATCCCGGCTCTGGAGAGCCCCTGTGAGAGTGGGTGTGGGGACACGGATGAGGACCCCAGCTGCCCACGGCTCCCTTCCAGAGGTAGTCGGAGTCGGTGGTCTGCAAGAGAGGGGGCAGGGATGGGGCGTGGCATACCCCACTGCGCTGGGAGCCAGGAGCCCTGTGCTGGGCAAGTCCCTTCCCCTCTCCAGCTCTCGACTTCCCTTTCTGTGCAATGGGCTAGTTGGGCGGATCTTCAGGAATCACCCACCCATCTCTGAGTTTCTCATCACGCATGGGCCAGGCACCACTTAATGAACACGGAGCGAGATGCCTGCCTTCGTGGGGCTTATGTGTCAGTGGGGCAGACAGGCAATCACAAAATAAATAAAAAAGGAAGATAATTACAAATTGTGCTAAGTGCTCTAAAGAAGACGTCCTGGGTGATGATGTGACGAAAGGAGTGAGTCTGTAAATCGAGCTCCCTAATGACGTTGAATTTTAAATGGTAACAGTAGTGGTGGTGATTATAACAGGTATCTATCGTATGCTTGCTGTGCCAGGCGCTGGTCTAAAACTTGACACAGCTTAACCCCACTGACTCCTCACGGGGGCCTGTGTGGTAGGTGTGGGCATAATCTCCATCGTCAGACACAGAAACTGAGGCACAGAGGTATCGAGCGACCCGTCCAGCTAGCGAGTCCGTCCATCTGTCCACCTGTGCCTGGGCCCCCCAGCCCCTGGCCATCCCTGGGGCGCCCCCCCGCCCCGCACTGTACTACACTGTTTGGCCAGAAGGGGTCACCTGCTCTTTCCGAAACCTCCCGTAGCCCTCCCGCTGCTAATGTTGCTGAGACCCTGGGAAGGAAGGTGGCTTTGAGTTGTCCCTGCCCTTCCCTAAAAATGACGGAGGCTTTTGGGTCACATGCCTGCAGGGAGCCCTGCTTGGCACCAGTGGGAGTTCGGGGTTTCCTCCAGAGGGAAACGTCTGCTAGTGATGCCGTGTTGGGGAATCTTATTTTTTTCTTTTTCATCTTCTTTTCAGACTCTCCCAGGTGCCTCATGCTGGCCTTGTCACAAAGGTAGATTTTTGGAAATCACTGGTTTATTATTCCATGAGTCTTTGTCCTGTTGGGTATGTGTATCGGGGGTGTGGGCTTGAGTGGGTGGTCAGCCTCTGTGCCTGCCCCGTCCCATGCCCCACCCTCATTGCCATGTGGGGCCCTCGGTAGCCGGGGTCCCTCAGAAGGGAGGTCTCTGCAGGCCCAGGAAAAGTGGGGAATTAAGGTTTTAGGCCATTTCATAAGCTGTCCTCTCCAGGACGGGGGAGGGGGGTGGAATTCTTTTCTCCTCAGGGGAAAGCTGATAATGCTGTGTGGCTTTGGCAAGTCTCCTCCCCACTCTGGGCCTCAGGTGCTCCTTCTGTGAAATAAGGAGGGTGTTGGAGGGTGATGATGCTTGCCCTCTCTCCATCCTCCAGAAAATGTCTCCTGTGTCTCCTGCCAGAGCTGTAGGCTGCTTTGAATTCCTCTAAGCCAGGATGGGGGTTTCCCAGAAAATTCTCCCCGGGACCCACGTCTGTGGGCAGCAGAACCAGGGTCTGTCACAGTGTCCCGTTGCCCTCCTTGCATGGTGGGGAAGTGGAGCCTGCTGCTGATTGGCCTCTTTCCTTTCTGTCCTCCCCACCCCCACCAGTGACCCTCCTTTCGGCAGGAAGAGCTTTGAGCAGACCTTGACGGTGGAGCTCTGTGGCACCGCAGGTGAGCCCGGGGCTCGGCTGGTAGGGTGCCCTTGGGGGAGCCGACACGACTCCTGGCCACGAGTCCCCACACGGAGCGGCCCCCTCGAGCCCTCCCTGCCACTGCTGCACAGGCTGCAGGGCCCCAAAGGTGCACAGTGAGGGTGTCGTAAGGGGGAGAGTCAGCCGATCGGCTGCAAACGATCCGCACATGAGCTGAGGGCGGGGTTAGGAAAGGGACACACATCTCCCCCCGAAGGAGCCCGCCATCTTCTGTAGGAGACAGACTCACGCCATGACGAGTCCTGTTCCAGGCACACGCGTTCAAAGTGTGTGCCAGAGCTCTGGGAGCACGCAGGAGGGGGCGGGCGGGGACCGGAGTGTGGCCTGGGAAGATTTGCAAGGCCTCCAGAGCAGGGGGCTTATGAGCCGGGCTTGCCGGAGGAGCAGAAGCTGGGGAGATGAAGGAGGCGGGCAGGAGGTCCCTGGTGGGCAGGATTGATGGGAGCAGAGGCACGTGGGGTGAAATCACAGGTGCCCCTGGGGAGGCTGGTCACCTGGAGTCGCTGCGTAACAAAAGGGGGGCGGGCAGGAAGGAGCCATCACAGAAGGCCGAGAGGAATGCCGGGCTGAGGGTTTGATCTCCATCCTGGAGGCTTCAGGAGCCCCTGAAAGGGAGAGATCGCGGGTGTTCAGCAAGTGCCCTTGGGTGCACTGGGGAGGAGGGAGGCCAAGGTCAGATGCGGGAAGCGCTGATGGCGCTGTGGCGGCCCGGTCCAGGTGGGAGGTTTGACCTGTGGCGCCGGCCTCCTTCCCACTCAGGGGACCTCGGAGCCAGTTGAGAGAGCTTGTTGAGTGACTGGATGTAGAACAGGAGGGGATATCTCAAATGACCTGAAGGTTTGGGCTTCTGTGCTCAGGCTACAGAGGGATGGCAGGGGGATTTCGTCACATGCCCGCTCAAGATTGGCCGTGGACTGTGTGCGGAGTCCCGGGCCACATTCAGGCTCAGCCAGCCGTGCAGCGATTGGTTAGTGACGCCTGCCATTCGTTGGGCTGGGAGAATGGTGGTACCTGGGCTGCTTATTTGCCATCCCAGACTAGAGTCTCTGTCCATTGGAGAAGTGATCTGTCTCCGCCTCACAGCGTTCCCCTCTTGCTTGGCTAGGACTCACCCCACCCACCACACCTCCCTACAAGCCCACAGAGGAGGACCCCTTCAAGCCAGACGTCAAACACAGCCCAGGCGGGGACAGAGCTCCCAGCCTCCCCAGCTTGGAGGGCCTCCAGCTCGGGGCCGCCCCCGTGGCTGCCCACAAGCTGCCAAAGAAGCACCCAGAACGGAGCGAGCTCCTGTCCCACCTGCGGCATGGTACAGCCCAGCCAGCCTCCCAGACTGGTCAGAAGCGCCCCTTCTCCTGTTCCTTCGGAGACCATGATTACTGCCAGGTGCTCAAGCCAGAAGGTGCCCTGCAGAGGAAGGTGCTGAGGTCCTGGGAGCCGTCTGGGGTCCACCTTGAGGACTGGCCCCAACAAGGGGCCCCACGGGCTGCGGGGCAGGCCTCCGACAGGGAGGAAGACAGAAGCTGTGACGGTGGTGCCCCCACCAAGGACAGCGTGCTCCTGAGAGACCACGAGATCCGCGCCAGCCTCACCAAGCACTTCGGGCTCCTGGAGACCGCCCTGGAGGACGAAGACCTGGCCTCCTGTAAGAGTGCTGAGTATGACACAGTCTTTGAGGACAGCAACAGTAGTAGTGGTGAGAGCAGCTTCCTCCTGGAGGAGGACGAGGACGATGAAGAGGACGACTCAGGGCTCAGCCCCCCTCGCTCTGACCACTGCCCCTACCAGAGCCCCCCAAGCAAGGCCAGTCGGCAGCCCTGCTCCCGCAGCCGCTCCAGCTCCGGCTCCACCTGCCGCTCCTGGTCACCAGCCACCCGGAGGACCTTCAGGTATGGATGGGTGGCCTCGAGGGACAGTGGGCAGCTGAGGACCGCAGTTCCCAGGGTGCCAAGGGAGGGAGGAGCCCTGAAGCCGGGGCTGTGTCTCCCCATGTGGCCCACGTCTGGTCCGAGGCCCTGGAGGTTCTCCCTGGGGGATTTGTGGGCAAGTTCTGGAAGCAAGCAAAGCCTGCTATGTGATGGTCAGGAGCCACCCAAATCTCTTGGCCCTGGGAGAGCAAGAAAGCCCACTTCCTGGCCATTCGTGGCCTTTATGTCTAAATGAACGTGTCCCTTACTCATCTGTGTTTTCTGCTTTTATATTTGTAAATCGGACCCAGTTTAGTATCTATGTGACATCTACACGTGAAAGGAAGATTAGCAGAATTCTAATCTGCGTTCTAAAAAAAAAAAAATAATACCTGGACTTAAAGCAGGGATAAGGTTTATTCCCATTTCTTGGTGCTGCTGAGCTGTGCAGGACTTCTAGCAGCCAGCCGTCCCCCTGGTTGCTGCTGACCTTCCCACAGGGATGGATGGTGTATCATGAGCCTGTGTGCTCCTACCATCTTGGCTCACTGAACTGGTCTGAAAGAAGGTGCCGGTCCAAAAGTCCACGGGGAGCTGGGCAGAAAGAATGGAGGTTTGGCATATGTTGGTGGAGACAGGTTGCTTCTCTCCCTGATCACAGCAGGACCTGATTCTTCACCTGAGGGAGGCCTGAGGAGGGTCAGTGCAGGTCCCAAACCCTCTGCCTGAGATGCACGTGAATGACCACTAGATGGTGCTCTCGGGTCTGGAGCCGGGCAGCGGCCACCTGGCGCTCGTTACCCTGTGATGACTGCACCCCACCCGCCTAGCGTCTGAGTCTGTGCGTCTGGGGGTGGTGGTGGAGAATCTGCATTTCTAACTAGTTCCCAGTGATGATGATGTCTCCAGAGTGCCAGACTCTGAGACCCAGAATTCAGGTAATAGAAAAATATCTTTTCTTAGAAAAACTCAGCTTTATGTATCTATACCAGTAGCTCTTATCTGTTTGAAAATCTGATTAAAGCAAACACTCCTCTTCCCCTTAAAATGTACATGGACCTCTAACTGGGCATTCAATTTTAGGGGGTTTGTAGACTCCAGACACTAAGGTTAAGAAGCCCTGCACTACCTGTTACTCAAAATGAGTTCCTTCTCGATTTCTCTAAAAGCCCTTCTATGTAATAAGCCAGGATGATTGGTCGGACCTCTCTGAGCCCTCTTTCCGGCTCCAGTCTCCTGGCATGCGCATTAGGCAGTTTCCTCTGCAACATTTCGTAGCTCAGAAGCTACTCAGGCTCTTTTCTTTTAGAAATACATCCCCCAAGGCTGGAACTGGAGCTTCCTGGCCTCCATTCCCTCCTGACCAGTTCAGGGCTGTTGGGGGAAGGCCTGCATTCATGCACTTGCCTGCAGAGAGTTGGGAGCCTCTCTAGAAACTCCCATGGATTCTCCTTTTCCTCCTCTAGAAACTCCATGGATTCTCCTTTTCCTCCTCTAGAAACTCCATGGATTCTCCTTTTCCTCCTCTAGAAACTCCCATGGATTCTCCTATTCCTCTTCTTGCTTTTGGGCCAAGCTCAGGGCTGGCTTTTTCTGCTCCCTAGAGAAAATTAATTGGTTAATTCAATTCTTGCTCAGCTGACAGAACTTGGCGCCTGGTAAATCTGGTAAACTGGTCGTCCGTCTTCTCCAAACCCACATTTTTTCACCCATGCTTCCAATACCAAACATTGGTCCACAAGTGTTTTGTTTTTTTGTTTTTTTTTAAAGATTTTATTTATTTATTTGACAGAGAGAGACACAGCGAGAGAGGGAACACAGGCAGGGGGAGTGGGAGAGGGAGAAGCAGGCTTCCC